CGGGAAAGTCCATGCAGCTACTGCATCACCAATGGCTAACATAGAAAGCTTGCATGCAGCTCCACTGTGCTCCAGATGTATAAACAAACAGCTGTTGCCCTTAAAGTAACCTTTTATCCAGTTCATGTACTCTTAAGTATTTGCATATTTTGCACAACCACTAAAATCACTTTAAAATAAGGCCTCATTCATTTCTGTGTCTAAAAGCATTGTGCCAAAATTGGTTTGCAAAGTTCACAATACAGGGGTGTTTTTCTTTGAGAGCAGATCTTGGCAGCCTACCAGCCTTCTAATGTAAACAAACAGAAAGTGTTTTTAAACACAAGAAAAAGAAGAGGACAATGTCCAGCTTAAAGTCTGCCCGCCAGCTGTTGCTGAGAGCTTATTCCCGCTCTCTGTATGTATAGCTAAGAAGAAATAAACAATAAAAGGAAAACTCCAGGATAGGGAAAAAAATCACCCATTAGTACACTACCCTACACAAAACACTAAACAGTTGATACATTTGTGAAATTCCTTACCATTTAAAGGAAAAGCCTAACTGGATTTCAGGAAGTCAATAGATAACAGCATCTGCACTGCCAAGTAGGAGGTGTAACAGTAGGGATTACATCATATCCTCTCCTCTCTCTCTGCAGTAAAAGGAAACTACAGTTCCCATGATCCTCTAGGAATTACATTGAATGTGGGTGTGTACACTAGGCCTGTACATGTTGAATGTTTCTGAGAGTCTCGGTCCACCCACCACTGTAAGTGGGGCTGAATTACATCACTGCTTCCTGGAGAAGAACTACAGAAGGGATGTGCCAAGACCAGTGGCTGGGGGGATAGGAGGCATAGCAGCCACCAGGCTTACAAACAGCAGACCAAAGAGAATTAACAGTTTTATTTGAAAATGAATAGGCTATTTCAGAGCAACCACTGAGTGAACCAGAAGCTGGATGACTTATTCAGTGAAGGTAGGAAATCACCAACAAGGACACGTAAAGACGTTTTTGCCCTGAGTTCTGCTTTAAGCATGTTTGGGTGTAACACCTCACTGAGGGTGAATTTTTTGCTGGGAGATTTATTGTGCATTCCATGGATTAAACTTCCCTATGTTTGGAAATGTATACATGAGTTTCTGATTTTTGGGATCTTCATATGAAAAGCAACAAGAGAGATGAGTGAGATTTGTTTTAAAGCCACAGACACAATACACTTTTTCATAGAGTTGGGAAAGGTTAAACCAACTGTAGGATTGTTTCTGCTGTTAGCCTTGGGGAGATTTACGCTTTCTTCTTGACTCAACGTCTATGGTCACAAAGACAAGAAGGGTTAAAAGAGTGAAAAATCTCTCCAGCTGGGAGATAACAATAAAAAACAGACGTTAGTTTAATCTCTTTTTCACTACCCAAAGCTTAAAAAGAAGCGTTTGCCTGCCTCATACGTTAATATTGCTTACCCAATTGAATGATTCAATTTTTTTTATTTATCCAATCATTTAGAGCAGTTTTTCTCAACCAAGGTGCCGTTTGGGTTTCCCTAGGGTGCCACGAGCATGGAGTTTGCCCTATAGAACTAACTTGTCATGCGTTGTAATGGTACGGGCAGGCCAGCTGTTAGCACCAAAACAACCAATGCTGCCCTAGCGCCAGGACACATAGCTTTATTCATTGCTATGATGATGGCAGGTGTTTCGCTAGGGCAGTTGCCATGCAGTTGCTATGCCACTCTCAGCATTTAGGACAAGATGGAATCCACTAGAGCTCCTCCACTTCCTGTCCTCTACCACACTGCAGGAGCCACAAGGTAGGACTCTGATGTTAAGGGGGAAATGTGAGATTTGTGAATTCTGTGAAGGGAGGACTGTGTGATGGGAGGGGCCTCTTTGACTGGGAAGCTCTGTGATGGGGGGACTCTGATGTGATGACAAAAATTCTGATGGAGGGACTCATCCATAGAGGGCCAATGATGTGATGGGGGGCTGTCATATATAGGGAGACTTCTGATGTATAGGGAGGATTCTAATGTGATAAAGGGCCTCTGTCATGAAGGGGTGACTCTGATGTGAAGGGGAGACTGTGATGTGATAGGGGGACCACTGACATGATGGGCCATCTGATGAGAAATGAGGACTCTGATATAAAAGATGTTACTGGGGTAATTTTGATGTGAAGGGGGCTTCTGATGTGAAGTAATTTTATCCAGGTGGTCCTGTGCATCATCAGGTTTCCCACTGATATGTAACATCATGTTTTTTTACATTTTAGACAGGGAACATTGGGATTTTGTATACTTTTAAGGTCTCACACACAACGGATGTTTTTCTGCCAAACCGCCATTGCCAGGAAGAAAGGCATCTAGAAGAGATGGCCAAAGCATCCAGTGTGCATGAGGCCTAAAGGGTGTCGTGACTAAGGAAAGGTCAAAAAACACCGATTTAGCGTTTACCTAAATTTAAAACTTTTTAAAAGAGTTTCTGATAGCTTACAAAGTGGTCAAAATTCATGTTTAGGATTTTTATAAATCAAGAAGTTAGAGACAATCTCTCCAAAGTGAGGGAAATCCCCTTTTTATACAGTCACTTTCCTATTGGCAGATTCCTCCTCCTATCCGATTCCAGTGGCAACTAAAATGTTGGGATTTTCCAACCGATTTCAGTCCTGAGGATAACGTTCACCAGGGCACATAGAGATGGAACATAAAGTGACAAGAGTTCTAACCAATCTCCAGACCCACTGTAAGAGAGGACTTTTTTATTTTTCCCAGAGTTCAGCTTTAATAGTATTTATCAATGAGTTTATTTAAAACGGATTTCCAAATGCAGGAATGGACCCAAAGAACAGTAAGATCAGATTTTACCTTGACTTTTGAGTTGCTTATACTATGAGTGCAGCTTTGTATTTTCTAATACAGTTGCTTACTGTGATAACTTTTACTTATTTTTTATTAATACCTTTCCCAAATTCTGATCTTTACTTAATTCATCACTTTTAAATATCACAGGCTGAAATAAAGGACCACTGTTCCATCTTAATATTTATTTTAATGCAAATATTACTGATGAAATTAAAGTCACTACAGCATAAAGACAGGTGGAGAAGAAATACATTTGCAATGCTCTAAAATGTAAAAAAAAAGCTCTCAAAAGTTTGAGATTTAGATGCACCTAGGAAAGGCTTGTTTAACGCCCCCAGACAACCTATTTATGACTGGAGGCGACCATAATGTGAGAAGTGCCATAGTCACACTAGGCTCTCCTACACTACATCTAGGGAGTTTATTCAGGCATCCAGGCCTGCGTGCAAAAACAACTTGTCGAATCCTAAAGAGCAAATCCACCTGAAAGTGATTACCCAGTTTTAGGCAGACGCCAGAGGTTTTTGTACCTTGCCCACTTACAGTTATACATGATAGCAGATGAGTTGTATCCTCGTCTACTCATATCTCCTGTCTCCAACACAACCATGGCAAAACTAAGAGAGGTAGTTCCACTCTTGTTGCTTTTTGTTTATTTTGTAAAAAAACAAGAGAATTCAGTAGCAAGAGTAAGACCCTCTCACAACAGCCATTGAAAGTGGTGGAGCTAAGAGCTGAGGAATAGAGATCTCATGTTGGAGACCTTGGGAGATACAAGAAGTCTGTAATCAACTTGCCAACATCCACTGAAAACTATACTGCCAGTAAGGAGAACTTGTCCTTGAGAACTCTTCTGGCCACTAAAAAAAGAACTCCCATAGAATTTTTTCTCACTCTGCCCATTTTTGTTGTTGACCAACCCCTGCTTCTTACACCCTAGAACAGCCATTCTCAACCAAGGTTTTGTGGAACCCTGAGGTTCCTTCAGAGTTCGCTGGAGTTCCTTGAACTGTGGTTGACTGACCTCTCTCCTGATGGTTCCTGAATAGTTCCAGGGCCAACACCACTTGGCAGAGCCAGCGGCAGTATATTTTTTTAGCCGTCTGTAAGGATAGCAATCTGACCAGTCTTTATGGCGGATGTTCTTCCATCTGGCCTCCAATGTAAGTGGCATTCTCCCAACTAAATTGGTTTTAGTAAGGATTCCCCCAAGACCTGAAAATTATTTCAAGAGTTTCTCTGAGGTTAAAAAACTTGAGAAACGCTGCCCTAGAAGAATGGTGGAGGAAACAGCTAACAACATTCCTCAGCATGGTACCAAATGAAAAATGCTCTGTCTATGAACAAAGGCTACCAGGATCTCCTTGTTGGGTCCCCAAGAATCTTAACTGAGTTACCAGTTTTGGGTGGGTTTACCCTTAAAGGGGATTTCCACTTTACCACAAAAGCTGATCCCTGCTTAAGAGCTTGCCTCTTCTAACTTCCTTTTAGAAGACACAAGCTCAGAATGTACCCTAAAATGTACCTGTAGGCAACAAATTGAACTATAGCTTATTAATGGGTGGGTGCCTGTCTTCACATGAATGTAATCAGTTTCAAGAGCAAATACGAAGCTCTCCAGATACCGCTGATGTTTCACTCTTCTCCATAGAAGAGCAAGGGATCCAGAAAGACAAAAATCTTCTTTTGCAATAATAAGGTAATTTCACTCCCATACAACCAAATTATTGCAAACAATGGTTGAAATCAGAAACTTTGCTTGCCTTTATCAGGTCATTTATGGCTACAAAATGTCCGCAAAAAGCTTAAAAAATAGTATACGTCTGATGAATCCTGCAGTGTAGAGTGGAAACCCTCCTTTAATGAGGCACAGAATCAGACTAGAAAACCATCTTCATTTCATATGCCCTGACCTGGGCCGTACCGTAAAACAACATTATAACTGTTTACCTGTTTTTAACAGATTTCAAAAGTTTTTAAAACACAAATAAAAACACTGACATTATTTTCCATATTAGAAATCCCTTGCACATAGGGATTTTCATCACCATATAAAGCTACAAAAAACTTTTTTTTTTCCACTGCGTAACAGAAACCTCACTTCTGAGTGACATCAAAAAAATTAATAAACCAGAAATTCCAAAACAAAATGACAGTGCTCACATTTTGTTCCCTTTATTACAGGAGAGTTTATTGGCTGGGGAAACCTCTTTCTTCCGCAGAGATTTTTTCCACGGTTCACTTATGCTAGACTTGTCACTGCAACCATTTGCCAAAAAATCATAAATGCGACCTCTACGTTCAAAACCCCCGCCTCCAGTTGCACCGTCGCAGTTTAAGCTGAGAAGGCCCCGTTTTTCCTCCGCTGTTTCGTCCTCGTGCAAATTTAACTTATGAGGAAGTCGGGAATTAGTCATAAAACCCCCACATGAAGGCCCCTGGGTGCTGTTCCTGTAGGAGGCCACATCTGATGAGTTGTAATCCAAGTGGTGAGAGCATCCTGGCAAGGACAGATTACTGCTGGATAGAGAAGATGCTGCGGCATGCCCTCCATTTGCATTAACAGTAAAAGGGATGTTTAGATAATGGCTCCCACATTCCTGGTAAAAACAACATGTCTGAAGGCTACTGTCATCCTTGGCAATCCGAAGGCGTTTGCGGTAGGGACAGTCCTGGGGCACAAACCACTCCTGTGCTGACGTTGATCCCAGAGTGCAGGCCGAGAAACACCAGTTGTTCTGCAGTAAGATCTCTCCATGAATCCTTTTCATCAAGTTGTTGATGAGGACCGACCGCCTTAGGAATACTTCTGGATCATCGATGAATTTCAATTTCTCCAGGGACATGTAAAGAACATGGGCCCTCTCCTCAAAAATAGATACATTCTAAATGGGAAAAAAATAAGATAGTCAAAACAAAGCACTGTATCATATAAACTTATCTAAACCAGAGGTGTATAACCTGAGGGTCATAATGCCAGATAGCATCTCAATTGCAACAACTGCCAGAGTCAAACAATATTTGACATTTAGTCTCTTGGGTTCTTCACGGACCAAATATTTATAGGCTTGTAGCACAATGCTGAAATGAATACTATTTATAATCATCTAGTGACCTCAAGAATTTTTTGAGTGAAACTATTCAGTCCTGACTCTAAAAAATGTAATTTACAGTAATCATATTAAATTTAAAATGTATGTAAAGCCAAAACGTTAATTTTTAAATCAGTAAGGAATGGTTAAAATCCCAATCAAATTATTTTTTGTTGTCTTTGTCTAACTGGGAAGATTTTTCCTTCACTTCTTGTCTTGGAGATGGAACAGAAAATTTCTCTAAATGGGAAATTTCTCTAAAGTGATTGAGATTCTCATCATAGAAAGTTGTCCCCATTGGATGATTTGTTTTCAGCTAATTCTCAGATAACAACTTTTTGGATTTCCTATTACTTTCTGTTTCAGTGAGAATGGTCACCAAGACAAGCCCAGTGGTACAATAACTCTTTATAGAAGGGATACATACTGCAAAAAAAAAACTTGTGTCCTTGAGTCTAACCCTTCCCTACTACATCAAAAACGTAAAGCGGAACTTCACCCAAAATGGGAAGTTCATCTCCTCCTCCGACATGTTTGGCACATTTTTTTTGTGGGGGAGGTACCTGGTTTTGCCATGTACCGGTTCCCACTTCCAGTTGAATCACCTAGGAAGTTCTCCTCCCCCCCTCCCTCCTCCCAGTGCAGGACCATGCGCAGCGCGGCTCGCACATGTGCAGTGGGCACCCGGCCGTTAAGCCACAAGCATTCACAGTTGGCTGCCCACAGTTAATATGCCTGTGCCGGGGACCGAATACCGCTGGAGAAACAAGTTCAGATGAGCACAGCGGTGGATCCTGGGTCAGATGTATGCGTGTTTATTAAAAGTCAGCAGCAACAGTTTTTGAATTTGCTAACTTTTAACTTTGTCAAAACATGACTGAAGCTGCTCTTTAAAGCTAAACTCTAGACCAGCCTTTTTCAATCTGGGATCTGTGGAGCCCTAGGGTTCCTCTAGCGGTTGCTAAAGGTTCCTTAAGCTGTGATCAGTGATTGACTGATCTCCTGCCTGATGGTGTTCACCACCATAACTCATTCTTTCCAATGACCACCATTACAAGGAAGCTCTTATCTCATAGTCTACCAATGTGGTGTGGCTAATGTACCATGAGTTGTAGGTATAATAATTTTTAATCACATTCCCTGAGATCTGAATATTATTTTAAGGGATCATCCATGGTATAAAGGATGAGAAAAACTGCTTAAGACAGATGTAAAGACACAACTTAACGTACGTCTGTGATTAATCAGTAAATTAATTTTCTTTTCTAAATGTAAGAACCTAAAGCTGACCTGGTATCAGCCTCTTCCAGTCCTTGTACAGCAGGGCTGGAGTGTATAAAGAAAAACCTGTATGAGGAGCCAATCAGTTCATGTGCTGACAAAAAGCATGCTGATGGGAGGAGAGTGACAGAGAGATTAGCCCATTGTTGTGTTGCTTCTCATTCCACTGCCCAGTAACAGCCTGGGGTGGGTTCAGAACAGAGCTCACAGGAAGTCGGATGAATTATGCTGGTCATCACACTGAGGGCATCTTTGGAATAAATGTTATTGTTGCTATAAAAGCTGGTTTTGTTATCTAATCCTTTAATTGGCTCTTTTTTGTTTTATCTTTATTTTTTATTAATTTATTTTATCTTAATTGATTTAAATGTTGGTTGGAGTTCTGCTTTAAATAGATGATTGTGTACTTTGGTGCCAGATGCTGATACCATACTGCATGCAACATGTTAGGAGCCTGAGATGACACAGGTGAGGAGGGAAGTGACGGTTTTGGTATGGTCCTCGAAAGTTAGATGCTGGCACCATGCAGTACAGGTTTGGAACCCCGGCTGACACTAATGAGAAGGGAAGTAAAGATTTGGTACTGTCCTTGGAAGTTAGATGCAGGCACCATGCAGCACATGTTTGGAGCCTTGGTTGACATAGATGAGAATAGAAGTGATAAATTTGGTTCTGTTTTCAGGGGCCCGATGCTGACACTAAAGCAGCACATTTTATGATCCCTGGCTGAAAAATGTAAAAAGGGAAAAGACAGATTGCCTTTGGTTTCTTTAGAATAAAAAAACAACTATGCACATGATTAAATAAACTTGTGGTTTCCTCCTTCTGCAAATCACAGAATTTAGGAAGAGATATTCATATGCTATGCTGATAGTATACCATATGAAATCTGAGATGTCCTTTGTAGATACACAGGCGCCATGTATATAAATTATGCATTCCTTCAGGTCCTGTCTATTATAACTGATCAAAGTCAGGCTTGTGCCATTGCAGCCACTGAGAAATGTAAATTTATTTTTCAACTTCTTTACTAATAGGACACACACCTTCAAAACATGAATGGGTGAACCTGGCCTTATCTTTATTAATCCAGCTAGTCTGACAGGTATAAGATATTTTGTAGAATAAACCTGTACAACATCCCTGGGAAATACTGAGAGGACACCATATTATGGCACATGTATAGTGATTTTCTGTGTATTTAAAGCTCGCAAGGCCTAGTCATGGCATTTCTGTTGACTGAATTTTTTCTTTATTGGCTTTGAGATGGTCAAGGCAGCTGAACTTGAAATGGAAATAATGGTGGGGATACCTGTGTAATAAAGTGGCCACAACATGATTTTCCTTGCCAGCAACTATGCAAAAATGTAAGTTCCAGGTAGAAATGGTCTCCAAGCATTTCCTGGCTTGCCCGTGTAAATATTAATAATAATAATTAAATAATTCTTCATGGCATAGATTCAACAAGGTGTTGAAAACATTCCTCAGAGATTTTGGTCTATATTGAGAAGTTACTGTTGCCTTTCTATCTTCTCAAACCAGTCTGCCCATTCTCCTCTGACCTCTGACATAAACACAACTGCCACTCACTGGATATTTTCTCTTTTTTGGACCATTCTCTGTAAACCCCAGAGATGGTTGTGCATGAAATCCCAGTAGAACAGCAGTTTTTTTAAATACTCAGGCCAGCCCATCTGGCACCAGCAATCATGCCATGTTCAAAGCCACTTAAATCCCATTTCCTCCCCATTCTGATGCTCGGTTTGAACTTCAGCAAGTTGTCTTCACCTCGTCTACATGCCTAAATGCATTGAGGTGCTGCCAATTTGTATTACCAAGCAATTGAACAGGTATACCTAATAAAGTGGCCGGTGAGTGTACAGTTAGGTAAAGAGTTTTGTTGTTGCTAGTGAAGGCTGTTAATGCTATAACATTCAAAGAATTTTCAGACAATGGTGAGCTTCCAATTATTGGACAACAGATTGGGGAAGGCTTGCTTTTCTCTTCCAGCATGACTGTGCCCTGTGTACAAAGCCAGCTCCATAAATACACTGCTGAAAAAAAATTAAAGGAACACTTTGAAAACACATCAGATCTCAATGGGTAAAATATCATGCTGGATATCTATACTGATGTAAACTGGGTAATGTGTTAGGAACGTAAGGATGCCCCATCCTTTGATGGAAATGAAATTTATCAACCTACAGAGAACTGAATTCAAAGATACTCGAAAATCAAAGTGAAAAAATTATGCAGCAGGATAGTCCATTTTGAGCAAATTTCATTGCAGCAACTCAAAAATGAAATCAGTAGTTTGTATGGCCCCACATGCTTGTATGCATGCCTGACGTTGTCAGATATGGTCCTAATGAGATGATGGATGGTGTTCTGGGGTATTTCCTCCCAGATCTGGACCAGGGCATCACTGAGCTCCTGGACAGTCTGAGGTGCAACCTGGCGGTGTCGGATGGATTGAAACATGATATCCCAGAGGTGTTCTATTGGATTTAGGTCGGAGAAGCGTGGAGGCCATTCAATGGTATCAATTCCTTCATCCTGCAGGAACTGCCTGCATACTCTCGCCACATGAGCCCGGGCACTGTTGTGCACCAGGAGGAACCCAGGACCCACTGCACCAGAGTAGGGTCAGACAATTGGTCCAATGATTTCATCCCCATACCTAATGGCAGTCAGGGTGCCATTGTCTATCCTGTAGAGGTCTGTGCATCCCTCCATGGATATGCCTCCCCAGACCATCACTAACCCACCACCAAATTGGTCATGGTGAACGATGTTACAGGCAACATAACATTTTCCACAGCTTCTCTGGACCCTTTCATGTCTGTCACATGTACTCAGGGTGAACCTGCTCTCATCTGTGAAAAGCACAGGGTGCCAGTGGTGGACCTGTCAATTCTGATGTTCAATGGCAAATGCCAATCGAGCTCTATGGTGCCAGGCAGTGAGCACAGGGCCCACTAGAGGACGTTGGGTCCTCAGGCCACCTTCATGAAGTCTGTTTCTGATTGTTTGGTCAGAGAAGTTCACACTAGTGACCTCCTGGAGGTCATTTTGTAGGGCTCTGGCAGTGCTCATCCTGTTCCTCCTTGCACAAAGGAGCAGATACCAGTGATGCTGATGGGTTAAGGACCTTCTACGGCCTTGTCCGCCTCTCCTAGAGTAACTGCCTGTCTCCTGGAATCTCCTCCATGCCCCTGAGACTTTTCTGGGAGACACAGCAAACCTGGCAAAAGTACGTATTGATGTGCCACCCTGGAGGAGTTGGACTGCCTGTGCAACCTCTGTAGGGTTCAGGTATCACCTCATGCTACCAATAGTGACAATGACCCTAGCCAAATGCAAAACTAGGGAAAAACTGTAACAGAAAAGTTGAGTAGGGAAAAAAATGTCAGTGGCCTCCACCCGTTCCTGTTTTGGGGGTCGTCTCATTGTTGCCCATCTAGTGCACCTGTCGTTAATTTCATTAGCACCAAAGCAGCTCAAACTGATTAACAACCCCCTCTGCTACCTAACTGACCAGATAAATATCCCAGGAGTTTAATTGACTTGATGCTATACTCTGATTAAAAAGTGTTCCTTTAATTTTCTTGAGCAGTGTACATGGATGTTAAGTATGTGTAGAGGAACTTGAGTAGCCTGCACAGAGCCCTGACCTCAACCTTACTGAACACTTTCGGGATGAAGTGAAACAAGTAATTTAGGTCTTCGAGTCCTACAGCCGTGCTACAAAAAGTTGATTACAGTCTATGTGTGCATGGACACATAGGATAACATGCTGGGGGGGTTTACTGGATGTAGAAAAAATGTCGAAAGCTAAAAACAGCCACTGTAAAAACGTCCATTGTGCAGGAGGACTGACTAATAAAGTGGCCACAACAAGATTTAGCTTGCCAGAAACTAAGGAAAGGGAGGGGAAAATCTGTAACAGGAAAACAAACGACAATAAAAAGGTGGCAGAGGGTCTAGCATTCTTTTAGAAAAAAGAGTTATACTTCTTCTGTGTTGCTGTTAGAGAAATGTCCCCTCAATTCCTGTCCTGGAGACTTTTTACCGTACAGGAAGTGAAGGAATATTTCCAACAGAGCCTCTGACTGCAGTAAAACCTAGTTCCAATCCTTCTCCACTCTATCCAAAACTGAAAAAAATGGCTATAGATATATTTTAACCTGCGGTATCTGAAAAAACAGATAAAGAGTATATATAATTCTTAGCCGGAACAGAAAATTGCCTTTTAGCTAACTTATCCATCTAGCATACAATGCATTTTGATGATGTTCTCTCCCCCCAAAAAAGACAAATAAGCTTCTTCAAATCCTCTGCAGCCAGCGATGGCTTTGTACTGAGTTACCCCTGGTTCACATATATGCGGCCGTGTAGGCCGCGTTTTGCATGGGCACGAGAGCCCTGTCATTTGAATGGACTCCCATGCCCTGTGACACGCAGGGAAGAAGTCCCTGCACTTCTTCTGAAAACGCAACACTTCTGCACTTCTGAAAACCTTAGAACTAATGACACCCACCCGCGGGTCCGCATTCTTCTGTGCGGGTGGTGCAGTTGCACGGATTTTCGTGTGGATCAGCAGCGGCACCACCCGCACAGATGTGAACCTAGGCTTACCGTAAGGATGGAGCAACTGTTGGGACCAGCACCCCCTAGTGCCATGGGAAAAGCACCCCCTGTGCTCTTGGGCTACACATGTGCGGTGTTACTCTACTCAGCCACTGAACTGACCATAAGTAACAGAAGTGAGCATAAGCAAGGAAAAGGCGTGCTTCCAAATCCACACATACATGACCTAATAGTAGCAAAAAATAACTATAAATGTCATTCACCATGAAATAATCACACATAAAAGAAAATAACAGTACACATGTCTAAAATGTGGAAGATTAAGATGTGAAAGTCTGTGAAATGCTCTCTTTCACTGTGATCCAAACCAGATACAGACAGGTGATTTCTTCCCGTGTGCTGCACACACCAAGTATTGAAGCTTCTTTCCAGAACTCCATGATCTCTATAACTAAAGAGATAAACAGGCAGACTGCCATTCCAGCTAATCCAGCATATGCAACGATCACACTCTGCACCAATACCAGGTATATCAGCACCAGCAGGATCTAAAAGCTGGCCATCACCTCCTATGATTCTCAGGGATCATATAAAAAAATAAAGGCATACTGCATGATGGAACGCTGTAAATACCGTATCCCTTATTAAAAGACAGCTACTTGTGATATACAGTGAGGAACAAGCATATATTGCCTTGCCTTCTGCATTCAGAGGGTGTGATGACCTCACTTACTAGGCCATAACCAACACGTTTCGCCTCAAGGAGGATGTCATCAAGGGAGAAAGAGTGAATACATACAACATATGTGCACAGGGCTGCTCTCAGAAACCACGGGGCCCCACACAGCCGATGTGACAGGGCCTCCCAATTAAACACAGTTTACTATGCTTCAGTTATGAATGAACACAGTGAGTGATCGGTAGCGATCACTCATTGTGTTCATTCAGGAAAGGAAGGGGCTGGTAAATGTGACATATTTACGGACCCTTCCCCCACTATTCATCCTAAGGATCACATAGTGTGTTTGCAGCTGGGAAGGAGAGGAAAGAAGCCGTCAGCATTGCAGGGGTGGGGGGAAACGCAGAAGGGGGTTGGGCAGCATGAGGAAATGTATGGTGCACCGGGAGGTGCTGCCGAGACAGCCATACAGGGGATCAGGTCCCCTCTGTGTCAATCACCCTCCCTGCCCACATCCAATTCACCCAGCTGTCTGGGCCCCCCTGCTAGCCTGGGCCCTGTACAGGAGGACCAGTGGTACCCCCTTATCCAATGCCCTGTATGTGCAGCTCAAAAGAACAGGATGAAGCTCCATCTCATTGCATTAGGGGGCACTGATCCCAATGGCTGCTCCATCGCTACAATAACTCAAGACAGAGCTTTGGCTGGCTGCAGAGGTTTTTAAGAAGTTTCTTCTAAATGTGGTTGTAGACTTAATTGTTTAAACAGAAAGGGAGCCCTGGATGGTAGATTGAGGCCAATGAGCTGCTATACCCATATGGGACAGCATAGGACAGCACAGTGTGTTTTTTTGTTAAGCTGAACTTACATGTTAAAGCCAGCAGAGCATTGCAACCATGGTCAATACATCGTGAGTGCAGTGCACAGGCACCTGCATTGTTTACACCCCTTCCTAGGTCTGTAACTAGGTACGTACCTACCATTATGGGGCTGGAGGATGTAAACACTGGACTATTAGTGTGCAGATGTTTGTGCGCCATTGAGATTGTTGAGTCTCTCTTTCTATTGCAGATAGGATTTGTAGTCTTTTCATATACAAATCCCTGTGAATGGATGAT